CATTTCCCGCCCCGGATACCGTCTTTCTACTCCGTCAGTGCACTCCCGTACCAGCCGAACCCCATTGATAATATCCTTATACTCCATAGTGTGCCGTTCGCGATGCCGGGGTTTCGGCTGTCGCTATTCCAGTCGACCGCCGAGCCTGGAGTCATCGTATGATACGTTGACCTGGTCGTCGGCCCTTTCAGGAATCTCCTCCTCCAGCGGGTCTATAAAGCGGACTTATCGAAGTTGTTCGCTACGCCTTAGCGGTTAACACCGCTCGTCCTGCTATTTCCGTCATTTCTAACGCCCTCCGTGCCTCGAGACCTATGCCGGTGGCCCTGGCTTACCCGGGTTGGTATCGTGGAACTGCTATATCGCGTCGTCATAGCCCCGGATATCGGTTGCCGGTTGCTAAGTCGGTTCGTTATAACCTTCCCACTTGACCAAGTATTGCCAGCGGCCGTTATCTGCCTTGCCGTAGTCAAGGATATGCTCGAAACGCTATTCCACAGCTTCTTCGCGGTCTTCGTGTATAGTGACTCGGCCCTAGTTCGCCCGTACGTCTCGCTGAGCTATACACTACCTAGGGATGCCGGTGCCGCCGTAGTACGGCCTGACCTGAGACATATAGAAGGTATTAAAGATATGTATATTTGCGGGTAGTCGCATTATAACGGCGTACGGCGATACCTTCGTGACTTCGAATAGGCCTTCCTAGCGGGGCTCTAGCTTCTTTAACGGCCGACCAGTCCTGTAGTTCGTAGTATCGAGAATTACCACGTCCTTTCCTTTGTAAACGGCGCATCGTGCCAGCGCCTGTTTGCGCCCACTTTATAGCGGTCCTGCGCTTGTTTGACTAGCGCTATAACGTAGTCTAACCCCGCCCCCAAGATGGTTGGAAATCTCCATCGCCTAGAAGAATTCGCGCCTCTACACCTTGGTGAGCTCCGGCGGTACCGGTGATGCCGGTTCAACGCCTATCTAGGGATAGAACCCATAATTGGCAAAGAACGGAGATACTCCCATTGGCTCCGACATTATGTTGTTGCCGGCGAAATCGGCCAGCGCTAACCAGTCAACCCAGTCGTCCTGAGTTCAGTCGACTCCAACTTGGCCTTAATCCGCTCCGTTTAACCTTTCGTTTAGGGGTGGAACGCCAACGACGGCCCTTGTTTGATGCCTAACCTTACCGATAGTGAGCGATAGAGAGTCAAAACGAACTACGTCCTCTAGTCAGAAACGATGGTCTTAGGCAAGCCGTACAGGCTATAGACCAGTTTAATAAAGTGCCCCGCCTGTTTATCCTCCTCTAACGAGGTTATTACAATGAAGTGCCGTATCTTGGTAAGTCTGTCCATAGCCACGGCGATATGCTGAAAGGTCCAACTGCGCCGGGTATAGGGCGGCAATTGGGGTAATGTAGTTAACCGAGATGTCGCGCCACGGAGCTAGTGGAATCGGCAACGGCTTTAGGAAGCCCGCTAGCGATTCCTTTGCTGCCTTTGTCCTGTTATATAGCAGGTATAGCTTTGTGGTAAGTGCATACCGCTATAGCTAGACTAGCCTACTAACACCAGCGGTTTAGAAATCTACCGTCTTAGTATACCCGGGATGCCACCCTGGAGCTGAACTATATATGGTGAATTAATTGAATATGTATCTCTATATCTTCTAGGTTTGATTATCAGCCGGTCGCGGAAAAGCAACCAACCCCCCCCGCGACTGTATAGCACTCCACTATTAGAATACATAAACCCTTTTTTTAGCGTTAGTAGCGACTATCGAACGTATAGGTCGGTCAGGGCTGCTATTACAGAGTGGAGGAAGGCTAAGCGTCTATATATCCTAGCGATTAATTCATCGGTATATTACGTAGTGTCTAGCTGGAATCGCTGGATATTACTTAGTCGAGGTCGTCTATGCCGAAGGTCTAGGTCAAACTTAGATGGTAGGTCATCGGCTTCTCCTATTATATAACCGATCGTCGCTAATATCCTTGTCTTCTAGCTTCCTGCTAAGTGCGTCGGGATTTACGTTGGCTACGCCTGGTCCGTATATAATACGGAAGTTGAACCGGGAGAGGAACTCTGACAAACGTATATGCCGTAGCGATAGCTGCCGCTCTATAATTACAAAGGTCTGCAGATTTTTATGATCTCTCATAATATCGAATTGCTAGCTTGCACCTTCCAGCTCTGGTTGCCACTCCTCTCTAGTACCTTGATAATCGCTAATAGCTCCTTGTTATGGTTATCGTAGTTATATTCAGCAAGCTAAGTGCTTCGTACTCAAGTAAGCAACAGAAGATCACTCGCTATCCTCCTATTGTTATAATAGGGTGCCTCCTGACGCCTAGTTTAAGCCGTCAATTTCGATAGCGGTTGGCCGTTGCTGGTTGCAGGTCTTAAGCGCTGGCGCTATATAAAAGCAGTTTTTAGCCGCTCGAACGTGATTTGGCGCTCGGGAGTCTAAATCCATTCGACAGTCTTCTTGGTCAAGTCGTACTGTCACGGCAGGACAGGCTGATAGTCCAATAGCAGTTGTATTCGGGCTAAGCTACAGTCTGGGCTCTATGCCGTCAGGTACGAGCAGGTGCTTGATCGTCAAGACGTAGCTCGAGGAGCTACGAACAGATCTCGCGGCAGCGAGGTGCAGAATAGTCAAACCACAGGGGACCGTGCTTTCCACATGCCGGGTTCCACCTGTGGGTCCTAGCAGGCACGGCGCAATCGCCGTGACACGTACAGTGGTCTCGCTATACTGGGAAAATCGGCGATGAACCGCCTATAGAAGCTCGCGAAGCTGAGGAACCGCTATGGTTGCTTCTAGGGTGTCAGCGCCTTTTAAGAGGTAATTGCCGACATTTTCTTTGGATGTATTTTCGATGCCTCCCTATATAACAATCAATCCCAAGTACTTAGGGCGGATGGTATGGAATTTAATTTGTCAAGGTCGATCTGCAGGCCCCCATCAATTATACGCTTCAGGAATCTCATGGACATGCTGCATATAGTCCTCCCTGTCGGTTAGGTATACTAGGACATCGTCGAGATAAGCTATAGTATATCGTCCAAGATATTATGTAGGACGTCGCTGATATAGTGCTAGTAGGTTGCTAGCGTGCCCAATAGCCGGAAACGGGTAACCCAACGGCTCGTTTTGTCCGAACTGCATAATGAACGCGGTAACCCACTCATGGCCGCTGCCACGCGGATCCAAATGAAGGCTGCGATTACGTCAAGCTAAGTGAAGATAGTCGCCTTTCACATTGAATCCAAAGTCACCTATCTAGCGGAATAGGGTGGCGGCTCTTTATTATAATAATGTTAATACCACGGTAGTCAACGTAAGTACAAACTC